CAGACAGACAGACAGACAGACAGACAGACAGACAGACAGACAGACAGACAGACAGACCTCAAGTACCACTGGGTTAAAAAAATCTCATCTATTCTTTCATAACAGCACACCATAATTAATATGGTACCTATCCAACAAGAAAAAGAAGAGATTTTTAAATTGCCCTCAAAGTATCTATTAAAATTCTTACCTGTTTTATCTAAAAGAAAGATGTCCTTGAATTTAAAACAGCTGATATTTGGTTATAATAAATTGAAACTGAATTTCAACTGAAAAGAGGGGCAACACATTGGCAGAAATCCAGCATATTTATCACTTTGTCAATCCAGACTTGCTGGTTCCACCTGAATCTAATCCTGGAGATTTTTCTTTCCCCAAGAAATATGTGCACATGGAAAAGAAAGAAAAAAGAAAGAAAAATAGAAAAAAATATAAAGAATTATTTCTTTTTTCTTTCTATGTTTTCCTTTTCTGCACTTTCGATATTTCTTTATATTCTTTTATTTTTTAGTTTGTATTAGTTGTTATCTTTTTAATTGTAATGTTTAATAAAATTACTACCAAAAAAAAAGAAATGTGTACATGTGGCACATTTGTGCATATAAATACATGTACATATACGTCTGCCAAAAGCTATACTCCAGAAAAGGACAGGATGAGGCCCTCCAAAATAAAATAATACAATAACCAAGGATTAAAATTTCTTGTCTGTAAAATAAAGTATCCCATTTATAAAAAATCATTGATCCTCCTCCAGCATTTACACATCATTTCCTCCCTGCTTCCAGCAGGAACATCAAAAAGGAAGATGGAAAATAGCAAGAGAGAGAAGGGGTAAGGGTAACAAGTAGCTGCCCTGGGAAGAGAAGCAAAGAGAAGGAGGCACAGAACTGGATGGAGATAAAGTGATCAGAAAAGATATCTGGACAGGAAACGAAACAAAAGATTGAACTGCACATTTTCGAAATCATCCTCTTCAGCAACAATGTCTACAGCCATTTGCACCTGTCACTCTTTCTCTTCTATTAAACATTTGCTACTAGTCTTCTCAGTGGATGTAGGATAACATCTCCCTGCATGAAATTCACAAATAATCCTTCCAGGAAAAAGCCTTGTATTCCTTCTGGATAAATCTGGCCATCATAATCATAGTTTTATTCCTCTGTTGCTTTTCTTGTTAGAGCTCAGAAAAAATTAGAAAAGGATTTTGAAAGATGTGAAAGAAAACCATTAATAGTAAAAGCAACTCTTTAAAAGGCAATAAAAAATAGAATTAGGTTCATTTAAAATAAAGTAATCTAAAAGGCATCTAGGATGCACTGAACTGCAATTTTTATTAGTAGAGAAAATTAGTAAAGACATGGAGAATAAAAATATAAAGTATAAAAAATAGTGTAGCTATGTTACTCATGAGGGAAAAAATTCAAAATCCATAGTAGCGATACCTTTACTACATCAACTGAACCAAATGGCTGCAAAGCTTGATAGAGAAAAATGTGGCTGATTTTATGGCCACCTCTACATTGGTTATATTTTAGATGTTATGTTAGGGAGCTTTTAGACAGGCAAACTGGATCTTACAATGTGCAAAAGAGTGTTAGGAGAATATTGCAAAGCAGTTTGTCCAAATTTTGTTGGGAAGAAGCAAGCAAATGTCTGTGAAATCACCATTTCTGAAAACAGAAATTCCAGCTCAATTTTTCTCCCATCCCATTATGATACATAAAATTCTAGGATGGTGGAAAATATATGAGAAATCAATTACTACAGACAGTCTTTGCAACAACGGAGCTAGATATAATTTATTATTCTAGGTAACAAAAGCGAATTGAAGCCAATTAACCAAGTATGGCTCCTAGTTTGAAAAATGTTGTGCCCCTATTCTAGCCACAGAAAATGGCTAGAACAAGACAGCCATTCAGCGTGTCTAACAACAGATTAGATGTTTTCACAGATTACATTTGAAAGGTTATTCAGTTAAACTAACCTATTGGATGCTTAATTGTGAACTTTTTTTTTTTGCTTTTGGAAAAGAAAACAGAATTTCTAAAGATCTCACTTTCATCCTTAACTCATCTCTTAGTATCTTCTCCTTTCATCTTAGCAGTAATTGTCAGAGCTCTATGAACTGTCTGTAGATGCTTTCTGCTCCTCCACCTTCTTCTCCCAAAGGCCCAAGTTTCTGGTTCTGCAGCGCTTCTAACTTTTGCCAGCTGAATGAGTGGGAATGAATTATAGATAAACATTAATTGCCAATGTATAAATGCTGCTTCCTAGATCTTCCTGTCTTCCTCTGTTTGTGTCCACCTGATGTTCACAGCAGTGACAAAGCACTTCTATGATACCACACGAGTTTCAGAGGGATCCTGAAGTAGTGAGACAAGGCAAACCTTGAAGCCTTCACAGATATCCAATATGTCTGTGTTACATTCAGCTCCCAAGCCTCACACTAGGAAAGCAGGGGAAGAGTTATACCTTCTCTAGCCATCATAAGCCATCTTCTTCCCATAAGAAATATATAGCATTGAATCAAGGGAAACATATGACTTTTACATCAGAATGAAGACTCAAATTCTGAGCCTTTCTTCATTAGCTATTTGTAGAACCACTGGAATGGCCTAGCAATTTTATCTCTTGTCCTCATGATACTGGCTTTGTTTCTTCCCTGCTGTTTTCAATGCCCCAAATCATGTAACACAGTAACAAGAGTTAGGAAAATTAAATCCTATGTTGGTTGCCCTTCCAATTACCCTAGTAAGGGTTTGTAATTGTTCTGTAATTGTATTAATGGTTTCAATGATTGAAATTGTTCGCCGCAATGCAGAGTCACTTGCATTCAGATGGGCGGCTATAGAAATTGCATAAATAAAAAAGTAAATAATAAAAAAGGGTTGGGTTCCATTAAAGATTGCTTGTGGTGAAAACCTCTTACTTAGAGCCTGCTGTCTCTTCTACTCACCAGCTGCCCAATCCTGTTTTAAAAAATAATTTTTATTAAAGAAATTTTAAGAGAATAAAAACAATACAAATGTTGAAAAGAAAGTGGAGAAAGTAAAGTAATAAGTAAGTGGAAAAAGAAAGAGGAAAGAAAAGAAAAGAAAAGAAAAAATTATAAAGAAGTGGCTTCTGATCTTCTTAATAACAGTTGCAAGTACATTTATATTTTATCCTCTCTCTCTAAGGTTACATCATAATTTCCTTCTTTTCATAATCTATCCTTTCTAATCATCAAACCCATAAATTGCAAATTAATTTTTTTCTTTTTTCAGCAAAAAATCCATAAGGGGTTTCCAGTCACTAATAAATGTGGTTATTGTCCTTTTCCTAATCAGACAAGTCAATTTTGCCATCTCTGCTAATTCTGTCATCTTCACCAACCATTCCACCATTGGCTAGCATTGGCTACTATGAACCTTGGCTTGAGAATGGGGTTTTTCCCAACCAGATGATGCCATTTCTTGTTCTACTGTAGGCAGCAAAATGTCTTGGGGCAAGCCTGAACAATGCCTGAGAAGTAGCTGCCACTCAAATGTCCATTAATATCCCATGAATTATATTACCATTGCGAGCTGTTCTTGTAAACAGAAGGAAGCAAAGATAAGATCTGGCACATGAGGATAGTATTTTTCAGCCTCAACTTCCCAATCTATATGTTGAACAGATATTGCAATTTGCCGTATTGGATAGTTTATGTTTTTTCTCCTAGCAGAAGCATTGTAAAAATGCAATTAGAGCATCTATCTTTGTTGTTATTTTTGATTGCAGAATGAAGCAGGGACCGAAATGCTGCAGCTGGGTACAGCTAGAATAAATTCACTCTCCCAATCGTAATTTTTTAAGCAGCATTTCCTTTCTTCAGAGAACGGGAAAAAGATTTTAAAACAGACAGGAGCGGCGCCTGTTCCACGTAATAATAAAGCTATGAGCGAGATGAAACGTTAGAAAAACCAGCTGCGATTCTCTGCTAGTCTTAAGAGACTTTATTTCATCCCATATCATGCTTAGGATGAGAATCTTCCTCTGGCGTCGGAACTCAGCGTTGAAAAGCGTTTTGTACCGGAAGTGTCGAAGGGGAATACCATAGTCTACCCCCTTGGGCGCCGACGATAGAAAGAAGAAATTTGTCCCTCACTGGCATCCGTAGGGAGGGCGGGATTATTTTGAGAGGGCCCCTGGATGGTTTTTCGGAAGCTTCTTCAGCTCAGGAGAGGAACGCGGGAAGCGGTTGGCGCCGACGGGAACCGAGGTCATGTTCCGCCTTGAGGGTCTGGGGCCCAAGCTGGACCCGGAGGAGCTGAAGCGCAAAATGCGCGAGGACGTTCTCTCCTCGGTCCGCAACTTCCTCATCTACGTAGCCGTGCTGCGCATCAGTGAGTGCCTTGCATGCGCGCATCCGGGCCGCCCGCCACGTGCTGGGAACTGTCCCGACCCCCCTCGGGAGCGGCTGCAGGACCGGGATTCGTGACGGACGTTAGCATCGGGGTCTGCAGCACTTCACGTCGTTAGAGCCAGGAGTGGAGTAGTGGCCGAGGGGTTGAAGTACTGTAGGTCCCGCGGGAGATTGGGTTCAAGGCTGCTCTCGGTCATCGACGGTCACTAGGGACGTTGGGTCAGGCCTGTCTCAGTCCACCCCTACAGGGTGGTTTTGTGGAAAAATGGGGAAAGAAGTGCTGTGTTTGCTGTTTGGAAAAAAGATTATTATTTATTTAAATGTATTGTTCGCCCAACTCCAGTGGACATACAAGGAATAATAATCTTATTTATAATGACTTTAATTTAGTTATTTAAAACATTTATATGGCCACCCATCTTAAACCAAACTCTGGGTGGCTCACAACCCAAGGATAAAAACAATATATACAATCAATTAAAAAAATAGTAAAACCAAAAACAAACACCTGGTGCTACGGCCAAGCTTTCTGATGCAGCCCATAACACTCTCATCCATTGCAGTCTTCAGTAGTAGAGGTATTAATCTGAGCTGCAGAAATCCTGATAGCCATTAGATTGGCAGCAGAAAAAGAAAAAAACCCATATCTAACAGATGTCTGAATTTTTGCAGCTGAGATACAGTGGCACTATACTATGCAATACAGTATTTCATAAAGTGAGAACATTGGACTGTTGGCGGTTCTTTGAGGACTGCCACTTGATCCTTGAGTTGCCAACCTAGACATCCAGAAAGTTGAGAAAAAACGTTTCAGTGGACCTGCTTACGATTTGGGTCTTGAGAAATAATGCTATTTTTTGTTTTGTTTTGTTTTGCATTTTTTAATATCTCTCCAGTAATATTAATTATTGAGCAAGAATTACAATTTGTTCCTAGTCCCTGGTGAAATCTCTTCACACCAGTGATTACTGATGAATGCTTCAAACTTATTTCTGTTCTGATTTCATGATTTGTACACCAGTATGGTGTGACTTTAAAGTTAGGCATTAAATATGCACTGAAGCCTTCAGAGCAATAGGGGTGTGCAAGAAGTGGGAAACTCAGTTTGTTTTGAGTGCAAGTTTCTTAAGATCATCTTTTCAACATCAGACTGTTTAGTGCACTGTTATAGAGCATTGTGGCTCATCACCATGGAAAAGAAGCTAAGTGAATACTATTTACTAGAAAATTTACTACCATGGTGTAGTTATACCTACATAGGACATTAATTGTCAGTTGTCTAGTCTAAGAGAATACCATCACTTTCCTCCTCGCTCATTTAGCAAAATTTAAATTATAGGAGTCATGGTCTAAATGCTTCATTTTTTTCAGAACATAACTGTGTTTTTTCCACAGCTCCATACCTTTTAAAGAAGCTGGATAGCATATGACAGTGAGTGTCTAAGGTTGCCTACATGGAAGACCAAGCTGGACTATGGTTGCTTTTCTAAGAACAGACTAGAGAGAAGTGACTCCATATCCTGACAGATGAATCTGAACATTGTCCTGTGAAGATTATAGAGCAGCTGAAAAAGTAAAATCATTTCTGTCACTGCTCTTTTCATGTGCCAGAATTCTGTTCCTTCATGTTGATGCAATCTTGTTCTTGTTCCAAGCTTATAATCAAGCCTGATTTGGGAAAGCTGCTAAATATGCATTGGAATATAATGATTTCTGAAGTGTTAACAATGATATTGTCGTTACTATACTGCCTCCATGTGAAACCTTATGGTTATATCCTGAAAGATTGAAATAAATGGAGTATATGTTCTAATGATAGTGTTCTGCAATATTTCCAATCGGATCAGTTAAACTGGTTCTTTCATACTGCATCCTTTTGGTTAAGTTCTATCACTTCAAGATGAGAATAAAGAACATGGAGCACTGCACTGAAGCTTTTCATAAAGTCAAAAACAGGTGATACTAAACTGAGCCAAAAGCAAAGCCGACTACTCATCCTGTTTGTTTTGTTTGCAATGACACTCAGTTTTGTTAAGCAATCAAGGAAAAAATGCATGGAGTAGATAGAACAATTCGTCTTGATTATAATTAAAATGTGGGGTCATCTAATGAAGTTCAGAGCAAAGAAATGAAGAATACCATACAGTGATGAATTGTACAATCACTGCTGCTAAATGAGATAGGAACTAGTTTAGGCATGACTTCCATGTTAAAGACAGAAACTCTAGTCACACTGATGTGGCTGCTCCCATAAAACTTCAATTTGAAATGAACCGAGATCATAGTCAGGCCTATTGATAATGTCTCCCTTGAGAGCAATGAAGGAGGTAGGGGTGGCTTTAGAGGGTTTTTTTTTTTTTTTTAAGATTGAATTAATGGAGGCTAGGTCAGCCAGATAACCTAACTGGAAGACAGCAAACCTTAGTACCCAGATGCCGTGGACAAAAAGGAGAGGGCCCTCACTTTCATACCCATGTCAGCTTCTCCCAGAAACGACTAATGGGCAGGGGCTTTAGTTTAATTCAAAAAGCAATCCTGTGTATGTGTATCTGCTTTCTTTTCCTACGTTGATTTCTCTTAAAATGATGGTTAGTGACAATTCAAAGCAACATCATGTGACTACGACATGTGAGCACTTCTATGAATGAAAGCAGCCACCAAATGTCAGTGGCTAACTAGCAATCTTTCTCCCAAGAAAAGCGGTGTGGTCATATTTAAATTAGGATTTCATGCTTTTCTGTAATTTTAAAAATTAGAAATGAATCCTTGAGGAAGAAGAAAACCATAGGTTGCTACGTCATTCAGCAATCATGACAATGCTATGAATGAAAAATGGCTTCTGAATAAATATCAATATATATGAATTTGGTTCACAAACAATACCAGCAAATTTGTTACAGTGTAACCTTGGCACCCTAAGGCTTCTTTCCTACCTGTCTCATGCAGTAATGGTTTTTAAAAAATCTTAAAGAAATGAGAAACTGCTCTGTTGCAAAATGAACCACCAATTTTAAGCAACTTTTTTATTTTATTTCCAAGAATGCCTCTAAGTTCCACGTAAATCTGAGGAATATTTTTAGAAAATAAAAACTAAGTGGCTGAGGTTTAAGTGTAGAGCTGCACCAACTATCTATACCTATGCCTCAAAATATAAAGGTAAACTTGGGATTGAGAAATATGTTGTCACAGGATGGAATAACGTGACTCTGTCTTCTGGTAAATGGATTTAGCATGCAGGAAATGGCAGTTAAACAGCGAGTCTCCATCTGTTTTTCCATCCCATTTCAACAGCCTGTCACAATACGAAAAGTTCTTAATTTTTACCTCGGGCAGAAAATATGGATAGATTAAAGGCATTATTCCATAATGAGACAAGCAACTCAGATGGTACAGATGAGACAGTAAGTTCTCAAATAATCTAATATGGTGCACTTTAAAAAATGAAAGTCAAGTGTGTGTGTGTGTGTGTGTGTGTGTTAATGATAGACATTCTGGGTTCTACAGGAGGGGGTTCCTATTCAAAATACAGTTCAGAATTTGTAATGCTCAAGCGGATTGAGCCAGTGTAGTGGTAAATGTGTTGGGCTAGTAGTGGGGAGACCCGGATTCAAGTCCACCCTAGCCATGAAAACTCAGTGGATGACTCTGAACCAGTCATGCCCTCTCAGCTCAACCCACCTTACAGGTTTGTTGTGGATATATAATGAAGGGAAATTCCAGCATAAGAGACTTGGAAAAAATGTGAATATAAATCTAGCACTTTCATTCAAAGTGGTTAAACTAATGCATTAAAATACAATTCTATTATTTTGGTATTTCCCATTTAGTTGGCCATTTGGTTTAATAGACAAAAACAATGGTGAATAAATTGCTAAGTGAAGGGAGGGTTCAAATGAGTATTTTGTCCGGGCATCAATTTTTAAAAGGCCCCAAATACAGCAATTATTGTTTTGCCAGATAATTTGTTGCTACAGTAAATTGTAATGAGAGCAATTAAAACACTAGCGTGTTTTCTAGATGTACTTGAGACTGCCAATAAAAACAAAATGTTTTAAAAAACATGCTTTTATTATGCCTTTGTTACAGACTAACTACATGTTCAATATTCCTCAGACACTAAAAAAGGGGTACAAATTACACCATTACTCAAAAAAAGATTGAGACAGTGTCTTCTAGTCTTCAGAAAGTAAGAAAGCAATCACTAATCCACTGGTTTCTAGATTGCGCTCAGTTCCGATCCCACTGGAACATGTCTTCCTAGACAGAAGCAAGGGAAGGAGAGAGAACAATTTGTGGCATCATCTACAAATAGTATTTATGTATATGCAGCTTTACACAGAATCAGTTTGAGGGCTTCTGTTTAGATTCAGAGGGCTGAATTACCCCATCAGTTACAGAAAAATAATTGGTTATAATCTGGCTTATTGTCCCATTCTCCATTTGTTCTCTTTCTACACACTCTCTTTGTATAATCACTGATTTTCTTTTTGCATCCAAACTGCATGCTCTTTCTCTTTACATCCCTACCTGTTAGCTCCCTCTATTTTTATCAGACCCTAAAATATGCTTTCTCCTGTCTTCCACCATAGTCACGTCTGTTCTGGTTCTCTATTTTTAGGGGGAAGTGGAAAAGGTGCTAGAGTTCATCTTCTGCCAACATTCACTGCTCTTGCTTTGTTTAGCAGCTTTTACAGCCTGAGCTATTTACATACAAACACATTTCAAATGAATGTGGGCTGTTTGTAGAATGATGGTCTGGTAGTCATATGCCAGAAAACCTGGCATCAACTGCTATATTTCTCAGGCACATGGAGTAGTTGTTCTTGGGAAAATATGTAGGATGGTATCATCAATAGTATAGAGCAGTGTTTCTCAACCTTGGCAGCTCTAAGATATGTGGACTTCAACTC